AAAAAGAAAATGACAACAATGGTAAAAAAATGTGTATTCGACTCGCGCTGTTCCTACATTGTTGTTAGAAAAATTTTATTTGTAGAAGCGGCGCAAAAAATTTTATACAGCATTCAGACATAGTCATAGATAATCGTCAATCAAATTTATGTACAACGAAAATTTTACTTTTATGGAACCCATTTTCTTGTGCATGGTCCCGGTCCCAGTCCCGCTGGAATCGGGACCGTCTCGCCCATGTCTAACAACAATATCATACTTCACTTTACTCTTCACTGCTTCTTTTTCATTTTTTTAACTTCTTTTTTCAACTTCTTTCGTTGAGTATTTCTACATGAGTGTGTAGAAGTTATACAGTCAGTCTTTATGGGGACATTCTGGTCTGAGTGTAAATGTCATTTATGTTAGTCTTCTCTTCTCTTGGTTGACTGAAAGAAACTGAAGTAAGAATATTTGTCTAGCTGGCTGATTCGATTCACATAAGAGGCACAGACTTTCTAACAGATTTCACCCCAGTAAATAGTAAGACCGCAGGAAAAGGTCAAAATACAATGGAAAAATTTCGAAAAAGAGGATAAAACAGGACAAATACAAAGCCTGTTAATGAGCAACTATTCCCTCCGCAAGAACTGCTCTAGCTCTACTCATGCCAGAAAGAAAGAGAAATAATCTTTTAGTTTATTTTAGAATGGATAATAGTAGTGAATATAAATCTTGTAAATTTTTTCCATAGAATTTCTTTAGATCTATCCATTGACAAAAATGTTATTTGATCTAATTGTAGTGATAAATATTTGATGATTGCATATCGAGTCGAAATAGATTTGGCTGGAGTTTTTTTGCAGACTAGTTGAAGAAAAATCTTTTTTGCAAGTTACTTATAAGCATAAGGACATGACTAATTCGAAAATATCTCTGCTCGGGTCTTTCCCGTTACCGAGATAGGAGGCATTATCCGTAAAATAACTACCTTTTCTACCGGCTACATATAATCATACCTTTATGAATAAAATAACCATAAGTAGCTCGAGTACAGTATAGAGACATGTTGCCATGTGGTCCGACATGGTTAAAAATGGAAAAAGTTCAAAATTTGGAAAATTTGCGCGCTCTCCACTCGTGGAGGACGTTTTTATTGGGAATTACAACTGCCAGAGAATTTAAGTACAAAGTTACAGCCAAGGGGGAAAAAGCACATTCCGGAATGGGTACAAAATTTCTGGAATGCCATTCCAGAATGGCAGAATGTCGCCTTAGAATGGTGGACTGGCATTCTAGAATAGGAGAAAGTTTTTGTTTTGGTTCTAAATACTAGCAAAAGTTTTGAGTCTGTAACAAAATAATGGTATCACAAGGACTAGAATTTATTTTATTTGTTTGCTACTATTCTGTAGGTCAAAGAAAAAATATGTGATTTGTCGTTAGAAAAAGCAATGACGTTTAAACAATTATTTTCCTTATACACGTAAAAGTCTGTCAGACGATAGTTTATTTTTTGTGTCCGATAACAAATAGATGGCAGTTGATTTATCTATACATTTTTTTTCAAAATGAGATAGAGTAATAGCTGTACAAACGTACAGATTAAAATAAAGGAGACGTTATATTGAATCAACGTAGCAAAAAAAGGAATTTTTTACTGTATGTGAGTGCTTATAGTACTTTATTTTTTGTATTGACTGGTAATACACGCTAGACCGTGCATATATTGAATATACATACAGGAAGAAGAAAAAACGTGCAATGTATTAAAATGAAGATTTACTTTCGCTTGTAGTTTCTCTTACAACTATTTTTATCACCTGAAAACTCGACTAAAAGCTTGTCTACTAAAAAACGGAATGGTATTCTCGAATAAAGGTATTCTGGAATGGGTACACTCGCCTTATGATGCTTTTTCCCCCTTGGTTACAGCTACCTAAGTAATCAATTTTACCAAAAAATCTTGCCTTCGGAGCAGCAAATAAGAGTCAGTTTTTAGGAAATAATGCCTCTTATCTCGGTAACGGAAAAGACCTGAGCAAAGATACTTTCGAATTAGTCATGTCCTTATGCTTATAAGTAACTTGCAAAAAAGATTTTTCCTCAACTCGCCTGCAAAAAAACTCCAGCCAAATCTATTTCGACCTCATATGGATTCAATCTGTTCAGTTAAAGCATTTCATATGTGTTCAGTGTGATTGATTTTAACGCTGATGTTAATGTTGCCAAAATAATTCAAAACTGTCACTTCGCTGTCTTCATCATACAAGTTGACGTGTATATATTTTATATTAGATGAATAGTAAAATAAATGGAATAAGACATTTCAACGATGACGGTACATTCAATACAACCTGTTCAACATTCTTCAACTATAATTCGACTAATATTAGCGATTGTAAATGGAAGAATTGATGAATAGAACAACAGGATTTAAATTGATTGAACGCATCAATCTCATATCCCTCTGATATTTTTGTAAATGTATACGACGTTGAATAACTTAATGCACTTTTTCTGAAAAGTTGATAAGAAAACTGTGCAAACATTCATTTTGTCCAGCAAAAATACAAATAAAAAGCTGTGAGGATGATGATCATCGTGTGTTTATTTAACAGAGAAAGATGATGATTATCATAGCTAGCTTTTAGAACTAGATCGATTCGTAAATACGAATTAGCATATTCGTATTACGAACTGATCTAGCGGTTGAAAATGCATGCACGAATTCACAAACCCATTCTGCGACTTCGTTGCAATTCGCACCGGTTCCCATAGTTTTCGTCTCACTTCGCTCTAACTTTTACGAATTCGTAAACTACGAATTGATTTCAAGAACAACACACATTTCTCTGACATAGAAAATAGATAGATTCCCCTCTTCTCATCGATTCACATACTTCTCATACCAATTCGCCGTTATTTTACGAATTCGCAAAATACGAATTGATGTCAAGGACTGGATTCATTTCGGCATTTTCTGTCTTCTATCTTGCGTAATCAACATTCTAGCAAATTTCGTTTTATCAACGCCTTGAAAGGGTGTAGGTGCCAAAACAGCCTATTAATTAATTAATTAATAAAAACCAATTTCAGTAATCATCTACCTNTTCGGCATTTTTTGTTTTTTATCTTGCGTTAACAAAATTTCCCCAAATACGTTTGGGTTTTTGTGTAAAAACTCCCACCCAACAACGCGGCCCCCCCCCCCCCCTCACATGCACATGCACACACAAGGGAGAGAGATTCGAACGAGATGAGCCGAATCTATCAGTTTTCAACCTGAGAGAAATGTGTTTTGTCCCTGACATCAAGTCATATTTTGCGAATTCGTGAAAATAACGGCGAATTGGTATGAGAAGTGTGTGAATCAATGAGAAGAGATGAATCTATCTATTTTTGTAACCTTAGGGAAATGTGTCATGTCCTTGACATCAATTCGTATTCGAAGAGAGTAATCTATCTATTGTTAATCTCGTAGAAAAGTTTGTTGGTAACAAAATGCGAATTTATGAATTCTAATTTACGAATTCGTCGGATATGCTTCGGCATCTACGAATTGGCAAAATCGTAGTTTATGGTGGTTTTGCGAAGTTACGAATTCGTACAAGAATTCTTGAGGACCAAAAGGATCATTGCACGAATTCGTAGATGGTCGACCAATTCGTAGGTACCAAAAATTTCTTTCTTACGAATTCGTCCTAGTTATGATCGTATGGATATTGGCACCGGTGAATTTCCTGTTTCAGAACAACAGTGTGACTTAAATAATATAATATTGTTATCCAACTTAGGCAAAGGAATTTGTTTTACCACCAGTGAGCACACTAACAGGTAGATGATTACTGAAATTGGTTTTTATTAATTAATTAATTAATAGGCTGTTTTGGCACCTACACCCTTTCAAGGCGTTGATAAAACGAAATTTGCTAGAAATAAACGTCTTTTGTTGATAGATGAAGTTAAAGAAATCGACAATCAATTGATGAAATCACAATTAACGAATCCATCCGATATTGCTGGCATTTTGGAATTGGTCCCACAAACACGGCGTCTGTAATTTTTGAAAGAAACGGGCGCTATTCAAAAACTGTTTGTAGAATTAGTAATGATTATTTTCAAAAAAATTGCAACAAGTAAGCAATTAAATATTAATAGTGCAGTTAACAGTATATATTTCAAAAAGGAACAAAACTTTCTTCTCAAAGTTGTCTGATGTGTGTTAGCTGATATTAAATTGGGGATCATAACAGACCGACACCCCACGTATGACGACACCCCAAAAACTTTGACCTGCAGGACGTGTTAGAAAGCCTACTTAGTATATCATGAGACTTGATTTCCCACACGTAATAACCGGTCAAAAGACTTGGCTAGACTGATGACTGGAAAAACCTATGACTTGAGTATGCCTGAATCTGCCTTGATAATGACATGTCGGTCTATTTGGTCGCAGAGTTTATAAAGTTACAAGTTTATTCATTCATCTTTACAAATAAAATAATAAATCGAGATTTTTTATTAGATGAACGAGCACGTGCCGTCTCTATGTTTGAGTTACGTTTATTTTTATAAAAAATTTTCATCGAATCTTCAGTACCTTTAATTTGCACATCTTCAGATTTTAATCGTAATACAGTGGCTCGAAAAATTATTCGTCCACTTTCGACAGAAAATTCCATTTCGAATAAAATTTGGTTTTAGTGAAAGATTTTGATTTATTTGACCGCTTTGCCTCTAACGAAATACAGACGGGTGAGAAAAGTTTCTATATGAAAGGATACCATTCGCCCTGTTCCTCCAGGATGTTCAGATGATAGAAACTTTTTTTCAAAAGATATAACCGAATTTCGACAAGAAATTTCTTGTCGTGATGATCTAGAATCTTAGAAACATATGCTTTGGATGATATCTGAATACAGTTAGGTTCATTAATCAGTCTAAGGACTTAGATCTTATATATTTGTACGAAGAAACATTATATACAAATTATCTACTATTATGCTTCCTTTAAATCATCATTGAAGGTGTTTAGCATTCTCAAATAAAAGACCTTGAATGTTGTTTATCAAAATAAACCATAGTAAGAAGTAATACGATACCATTCCTTTCCTCCAACTATCATTTGTAGCGAGTAAAGGAGTCCAGGTGAAATCACTTGTTAATAATTGTTCAACGTCTTCATCTGTAACGTTTCCATTACAATAATTTTTGTTACAAAGATAAGCGTATTGTGTTTCGTTTTCACCCGGTACCCCCGGCACTGATTCACGTTGTACTATAAGTAATCCGATTGATGTAAAATCTACTCCCAAAAGCGTTGTACCACATGATCTTGCCTGATTCTTTAACTTTGCATAACATGGTCTTGTGTTACATGTGATCGGTGTCATGCTCTTATCGTAGCATAACCATGGTTTAGTTGAATTATTATCATACAGCACTGAGGTTAATTTCACTCGGAATGGCTCGTGATTTAATTGGGTAAAATTTCGAAGTGCTTCTCGAACAAATTTTATCTCACATTCATGAGAATGCGAACACATGTAGTCAATGGTTGTCTGAATTTTTTTAACATTACACCATACTGCCGTTGATATCGATCGAACTGAAATTATATCAGCATTATCATCATTTGGCTCAAACATAATGTCCGTTGTCTGTGCTGTGTAATCTATTATTAACCGAACACGACAGTTCGTGTGATTAGCACGTTCATTACATTGTGTAGACAAATCGAGTTCGTCCGTAAATGAGTGTTGCTTAATTTCACAATCGGTTATACAAGTATGTGGTGTGACGAAAGGTTCTTGTTTGGCAAAAACAACATTACCAATTAAGTGCGGCGATACTACTAATAATAAAATAAGTTCAATTTGTTGCATTATGTTAAAGGTAATTTATACTTAACGTAAACAGTTAGGATGTAAAATACACAGAAGAATTTTATTCAAGGTGACAGTTGTGTAAAGATAAGATTCTATCAATGCTTATGTCCATTTTTCCGCAAAATCCTAACGAGTGAGCCATAAAGGATAGTGGTATCAGTATTTCGTTAATATTTGGCTTCAACCTTTTTTGAAAGATTTGTGGTTTCATTCTCTACAAAACACATATTAGATGACTTTTTATGTACCGCAGAAATAAAAGAATATAGTTGAAATACTGCAAAGCTTCAATTTCCATTACTTTCAAATTCAAAACACAACGAAAAGGTATTTATTTTGAGCATGAAACTATGCAACTAACTAGAATCCAAACATATGTGCTGGTGTCTGAAAGTGTCGTCCTTCTTTTCATGTATCAGAGATTGACTTTGAACTTGTTTTTCGGATACAAAAGGTAATTTTACTACAGTCTACCAAAACTAAGAAAAATGCTCCTAGTACCATCATATTCGATAACGAGTTTTCCCCATGAAAAATGACTGAGAACTAATAAACGTACGAATAAAAATTGAAAAGATGCCTCTTTTTCTCCCACAGTACTCCAATCGACACATTGCAGCTTAAAATAACAATCTAATTCGTATTGCACAGATGTCTACATCTATGTAAATTTCGAAGAATGGATTCATTAAAATAATCTAAGCAATTATTTATTGAGATGAACATTCATTTCAATTTTCATGTTTGAAAAGATCTTTGGGAGAAAATCGACCTCGTCACATTTTTAGTATTAGCGCCTCTGTTTCACAGAAAAGTCTATCCGTTATCATTGTGTTCAAGATACCTTAAAAACCCTTTTATCATTTTATTTTGGGCTGAAATCCAATAAATTCACAACACTCTTTCTCATGATAATGTCCATACAATTTATCTATCGCTATTTACTTTTACTTCAGTTGACGGCGTCGAACTCTCCACGACGTTTTTGCCACGTTGCCATTTATTATTGTCATGACTTATACTCATATGTTGTAGTATGCATTGTTAAAACACTAGTCTTAGTATACCATTCTTTTGAAGATTTTTATTTTTATTTGATCATATGGCTGCTTTTTATGACATTTTGATTCGTCATCTTACACTTACTCTTTCAAATTTACTTTGGTCAATATCGATATATTTCAAGTTTTGTAATACGTCAGGTAATACCGTGTGAATTTCTTTTTTAAAGCGCTCTGCGTCAAACATTTTTATCTTTTAGTATTAGCTCTCAGAAACCAATGCATCTTAGCCGATTAAAAGTCAGTTCTTCAGTCATACAGTTACCAGACTATACATGAATAAGTAAATGTCAGCTTTTGTTGACATCAGCAGTTTTGTTTGTTTTAGTGAAATCTGTTTTCCTATATTTATATTATAACGTTCACAGAAATATTTCACTCAAACGTTAGTCGGATGTTACTCACAAATCTCTCACTTTTAGTCAGATTAAAAAAAATAAACAAGATTCGAGCGAAAATGAAAATCGACTCCGTTGAGAAAATAAACATCAATGTTCCTTTCATTTAAAAAGCTTTTCATAGAAATTAAAAATTAGTACTAATAAATAAGCAAAAGCAAAAAAATGTTAACAGCTGTAGCGGTAACAAGACAGTATTCAATGCTTTTATAATAACATTAGAATTCTCCAAATCGAATTTCTGAAAAGTAAGGATTTAATATTTTGCTATAAAATCGGTGAGCATTCCATAAATTCTTTAAAATAATTAGGAATTTTGTAACCGATTCCCAATTTACATTTTAAACTAATCGAATTTTTCTCTTACAGAGTAAGACATCATATTATCTTACTTTTCGTTTCTGACAAATTTCAGCCACATCTCAATTTAACCTTTTCTTGCCTTTGGTTAAACCTGACGGTTCTGAAGGACAACTCGCTCGGTAGCATCGATCTTATGGCCTCTAATATACACAGGAAAGTTTGAACCGGATACATGTGTACGTCAAAAATGTTTTTTTATGATAAAGATTGCATTCAGATTGTTGATTTGAAGTCCGCAATAGATAGGCTTTAAGCTGATATCAAATCAGTTTCTAAATGTCTAATAGTTCAAGTGAACTAAATTTTTATAAAGTGGCACCTATAGGTCCCATAGGGCAAGAAAGGGTTAAAATTGAAAAGCAAACATAAAACAGGTGATTGAGCTGTAGTGATTAAAAACGATTGTAATCTATTTTGCATTTGAGACCCTTTATTCTATGTTAAGTTTGATGAAGAGTAAGATTTCTCTTCTAATTTGAGTCACTATCTCTATTAACACTTCTTTCTGACGAGCATAGAGATCTTTCTATGACAAAACTTCATTACATCATTAATTAAGAAATAAAACGATTTTTAAACATCTAATTTTCTACATAGGCAGCGGAACGAATTGGGTCTAGGGTAGGTTCAAAATTTCTTAGTATCCAAAAAAACACAAAAATATTTTGTAGTATGGGCTTTCTAGGGTAGGCTCAAACTCTTCAAGCCAGATCTAGGATAGGCTTGGGCCTACCCTAGCTTACCGGCTCCGCCGCCTATGATTTTACAACGCCCGACAGCTGTTAGAGTCTCAAAAGTCTTTCTAAGGCATTACAACGCATTAAAATTTTTCATAATGCAATATAGATTACAGTTGTTTTTAATCATTACAGCTCAATCATCTGTTTTATGTCTGCTTTTTCAATTTTAACCCTTTCTTGCCCTATGGGGCCTATAGGTGCCACTTTATAAAAATTTAGTTCACTTAAACTATTAGGCATTGGTTTCTGAGAGCTAATACTAAAAGATAAAAATGTTTGACGCAGAGCGCTTTAAAAAAGAAATTCACACGGTATTACCTGACGTATTACAAAACTTGAAATATATCGATGTTGACCAAAGTAAATTTGAAAGAGTAAGTGTAAGATGACGAACCAAAATGTCATAAAAAGCATGGTATACTAAGACTAGTGTTCTAACAATGAATGGTACAACATATAATTATGCGTATAAGTCATGATAATAATAAATGGCAACACGTTTATTACAGGGATAACAATCGAAGTGCTCAGAAGGATCAGGCTGAACAGAGTTTTTATTATTCTCTTGGCTAAAGGTATTGAATTATACAAAACTGATGTATAAATACTACTATCCGTAGATATTGTAGCTCTAAGTGGAGTCAGTTTTCACTAAACCTTGAGCGATCGGTGATATAGTAGCCATGCATTATAACGACAGATCCCCATCCGATACAATCGCGGAATAAACTAACAGTTGATAAGGACTCATATAAATTGCACACTATGGCGTCTTTGATTAGAGACACAAGGCATTATCATCAAGCACATTTTGATAAACAAGCGATAGAGAGGATGCAGCAGAGTGAACGTCATAGATTAGACGTTTTTTAGCTTTGTGTGGTTTAAATATACATAGCTGTCATCATGATCTAGGTGACTCTTATATAAATTGTATGGACATTATCAAGAGAAAGGGTGTTGTGAATTTATTGGATTTCAGCGCAAAATAAAATGACAATAGGGTTTTTAAGGTATGTATAACACAATGGCAACCGATAGAATTTTCTGTAAGACAGAAGCTCTAATACTAAAAATGTGACGATTTCGATTTTCACCCAAAGATCTTTTCAAACATTAAAACTGGAATGAATGTTCATCTTAATAAATAATTGCTCCATTGTTCGAAATTTACCCAGATGAAGACATCTGTGCAATGCGAATTAGATTGTTATTTTCAGCTTCAATGTGTCCATTACTTACACTTTTTTTACCTTTATAGTAATGTTGTTTGATCGGCTTTTCTTTTAAAGTGAAATTTTTCTCTACTATTCAGTCACTCTTTTTTTTATTTCTTCTTTCATGTGCAATATAAGGCGTAAATGGTGCAAACTTTTAGCAAAATTGTTTGTCGAACGTATTCAATACGAATGAAGAAATTTTATGTTTTCGTCGAACTATTCATTCAGCTTATGCTAAAGAAAGATAATATCCAGTGTGAGCTTCCTCAGTATCTGGACAAAGTAAATAGGGTCGCAGAAAGAGTGTATGTTTCGAGTTTTTTTCCTAACGAGAAGAAAAGGTGCGCAGCGGTATTTCAAATTCTCCATCTAATCCTCAAGGTGGACGATAGTTACTTCGTTAGTGTGTCAGAATATCGAGTAACCAGGTATTATCTTCACAACTGTCCCGCTCTTTGACTTTAAAAAGAGAGATGCTGTTTTTATTAAATACTCTTTGATCATACTATTCTTAATTCTGGTTCTTTTCTGTTATATAAGCATAGACCATCCACAGAGAACAATTTTTCTCTTTAGCGAACAAAGGAAGAAAACGAGAAAATTATCGAATTGCTGTAATTTATTCCGTATTCTTTCAACTTCGTTAATTAACACCAAAATAATTACAGAGGATCCTTTTTCACTTTTTGCACTAATCTAAAATACACAAGTTGTACAGGTCATGATAGTCAGAGATAATGTGTGTAGAAATGGCTAAATTGTCGTTTTCATTCGTTTTCCACAGTCCGAAAACTAACGGCAGAGGAGTGCTAAGGCTTCAGGAAATACGTCCATAGCTCCCGAACCATGAGTTCTCAAAGTTTTGTAGAGGACACTTCAGACTGTATATGCCTCCATAGATCAATAGATTCCTATTTGAATTTCGAAAAAATCAAGCTAATTTTTCATAGGTTCTCTGAAAAACCGCCTTCGAAAATCCGCTTTGGTTGTGGAAAGATACTCTCAAGTTTTGTTTATCGAATGGTGAAAATCGCAAGCCTCTTCTTTATTTGATGCTGAGTTATTAAAAAGATAACCATTGCTCTTGTATTTTGGGTCTGATAGTAGTCTGCGTATACAAAAGATATGAAAAATGTGTATAGCAATAATAGCCGATATACTATTAGAAAAAATGTGCATATGTAATACTTATGTCGACTCTCTATGGCAGCGGTTAACAAATTATTCTTTAATGCGTTATATGTTAGAACTAATTAAAAACAATATACCGAACCAAATGAATAAAATAAAGGTGAGAAAAAGCTTATTCTCTTATACAAACTCGAAAGAGAAGAGCTTCACATTCTACAATTGTTGTAATTGCTTCGACTACTCCATTTGTTCGGATCATAATTTCGACGGTCTCTTTTGTGTTTGATCTATAGGCTAATTTTGTTTGAAAAGAAAACGAATGCACAAGGAACTTGAACGTCGTACATGTTTTGGGTTTGTAATTATAGTTTATTATTATTAAGTAACGTTTATAATAATTACACTTCACGACGTAAGTGAAAAGAAAAACGTCTGATTTCCGTCCGTTAGCAGCAGTGAAATGGATGAATGAACATATGGTAGTAAACTATAATCTTGGAGAAAATTACATCAAACGAGGGAGAGAGAATAAAACTATCATTTTTTTAGCGTATTGCCACCTCCGGAGGTGTCAACAAGGAGCTATTGCTACCTTCAGAAGATGGTACTGGCGGCTATTGTCACCTTCGAAGTGTCAACAAGGAGCTATTGCCGCATTCTACCGGTGTCAGCTAGAGTTTCATCTTGAGCTAATTACATAATACATAAGTACTTGGAAAGCTAAAGCAAATTGACTTTATGTAATGCAAAACCTTTTGTGCGAAACAACTTTTCGAACGCACTCTCACACAGCTCTCCCCCTCCCTCCTCCAATACCCATCAGAAATATCCAAATTTATGTTATGAAAAATCCGCGGAAGAGTTGTGTCACGCTACCTGACACCACCTAACATGTGTGGAGTCGGCAATAACCGTTACTGGCACCTTCTGAAGGCAACAATAGCTCCTTGGCGATACCTCAGGAGGTGGCAATATCCATTTCGTGTTTTTATTTGAGTTTCTACTTACTATGTCAGTTATGAGAAGAAGCCGCCACATTTACATCACAGTGCCTATTATCATCTTAATGTTCTTTTTTTATTTTAAAAGAAATATTTTCTGTAATTCGGCTTATAGGCATGACCATTGTTTACAATGAAACTAAAAATGTTTACATTCGACTACGTCAAAGAAAACGTTTTGACTGTGAAAGACGTAAAAGCAAAGGCTTTTTCTAATTAGAAAAAGCATTTGAAACGCCTAATCAAATTCTTTCCTATTATAACAATTTTGAAATAATAAAGATGAGCTTTTTTCGACAGAAGGATGTTCGTCACTGGACACAAGCGATCAATGATACACATGGGATATACAAATATCGATGCGGTGATGCAATCCTTAGATATTTAACGTTGACCCTCTTTGCATCGCCCAATCAAACACTTCACAGAACGGATTATAATTTACCTTATTGTCACAAATGTTAGCTTGTTCCAAGTGTCGATTTTTAAAGCTCATACCTGTTTTAGTTTTATTGAAGTTTTTTGCAAATGCTTTCTGACAAGCTCAGAAATACTGAATATGTACATCAGCCAATGCGTGACATAACAAAAGCCTAAGGGTGTTTAACGTCTAGTTATTAAAAATCATTTAGATAATAACTGAGGCAGATTACATAAGTATTTTGGTATATCAACTTCGCCTACATATTAGAAATCGATCCCGAGATTCAATTTCAGATGATATTTTAATACTCTATAGTACACACATCATATGTTGTTGCGTCTACTATTCACGATTTAAAATACGAATGACTTTGGCATCCACCTTATTCTCCAGATCTGGTCCCTGACTATTACCTATTTCCAATTTTGAAAGTTCACCGCAGAGGAAGCATTACAGTGATCGAAGTCCCATGGGTTCAGCAATACATCAGTGCCCGAATCGTCTGTCTGAAGATGGCTATCCAAAAAGTGCAATAGCAGAAATCATCTTAACCATACAGAACCGAAGTAGAGAAAATCAAATTTCGTATTCACATCGAAATTTCTCATACATTATAACTGCAAGATAAATTTAGCTAATAATCTATCAGATTTAGAAAGTAAAATAAATGCATTTGAGAGCAGAGCGCCGATTTCGACTTCTTTTCTTAACTGAGAGGAAAACTGTTGGACTTCCAACGTTTTGTCTGCTTTTAGTCACAATCAGTCGTCATAGTGACGACTGATTGTGATTGAAAAGATTCTTTTATCAATCTGTCTATATATGCACATTAATCAATGCATCTTGAATAGAAAAGGTAACGAAACAAACGTTATTTTAACCGGATGCTCGTTAAGAATACCTCCATAGGGGCAGGGGAGGGAGCAACAGTATAGAATACGCTTATGTTTAAAAAGTATTAAAATTTCGATATTCAGTTAAGTTTTTAAAAACAACCAAAGTCTTCAGCTATGTCCATCATTTTGTTTGGAAAAACTGTTGTATTGTGATTTTTCGAATGAATGAATGAATGAACTTTATTAAGAGGTAGACCATAAGAAAGTACAATAACAGAACAAGAGAAAATTGATCGATCCATCGATAAACCAAGTCTGATATGTGTGTCAAAATATTCATATAACAACCTCATGATAGTATTGAGTGTAAGAATGATCTGAAAATATCCGTTTGTACTTTGTTTAGTGAAGAGAGATGACAGACAGAGCATCTGGTTAGGGATGGGCGGTAACGCTAAAAAATTTTTATGGAAGTTCACCGGGGTAAAATTTTAAGGGTTTTTACCAGTTTGAAATTCCCGCAGTGAAAATTTGAAGTTGGAACGGAAGCATCGGCAACGGTAAGACGTTTTTACCGTTACCGCTCATCCCTACACCTGGAACCACACAGGCACATTAATCATTTGTCTTATTGGCCTCTTACATTCACATTTCATGTGAGACTTCAATTAAAAACTTAAAGCAGAGACAGATGGAAGGCGGGAAGATGTGACTATTTAGCGTCTTTCTCGTTCATACATCTTCCCTGCGCCTTCAATGGGACTTCGATATGCCTACCAAGCGACACATTGAAAATATATAGAAGGCGCCTATTATTTTGAAGACGCAATGACAGTTTTTCTCAGTAGGCATATCATCCAAGTCGCATTCCTTTTTAGAGTCTATGTGTCATGTACCTTTTCTTTGTTTTTTAAATTTGAGGTGAAGCAGTTTCAACAAATTGTACAGAAAACTTCTTCATGAAGACTCGAAACTGATAAAAGTTGAAATCCAGGTCCCATGGAGAAAATTCGAGTACAAATTCGATATCTCAGCAACAAAGCTGATTGCGTCCGAACCAAGTTGGGGTTCTTCATAGTACATGAGGGCCTACATTTTAGAAATAGTCCCATTCAAAAAGATTTTTAGCACCTCAGGAGGTTCCTCGTCAGTCATATCGCGTACTGTGTCATCATAGAAGCTTTCTATGCTAAACTCGATTCCTACACAAATTTTCTCGGTGAAATACGGAAGGCATTAATCTTATACCATAGTATAATATGAGTTAATTTTACTGAACGGCACTGTATTTAACGTCGCCTAGTTGAGTTTAAAACACAACCAGTTCGTTTTGAAATGTATAATTGATCCAGTTGAGTCTGATCTACTTTGTCATTTGAGATCTAAATTTTGATTAGATCTAGGAGAAATCAAAATTCTAAAATGTACTAGTTGATTTTGAAACATGTTTTCAAATGACATGGTTCAGACTTAAATTTTGATCTCATCTAGTTATTAATTAAATTTCGATCTGAACTAGTATAATTTTAAACTTAACTGGATTTTAATTTGAAATCCGACATATATATTTATTCAAAACTATACACAAATAGTAATAAACGATGAGTAGTTTTTAATAAAATATTAAATGCAAGTTTTCACTATATCCACTTTGCATATATATCATCGGTGTCGGTAAATTGATCCTATCTGACAAGTTTAAATTTAAACATCTTTAGACTAAGCTTTTTTCTTTGCTTTTCCGCTGGCTTTTGCTGACTTTTTCTTTGGTAATTCAACAGGAGTCATCAACAATTTCATCAAATCTGAATGCAAAAAGAAGTTATTGTCAAAATATTAGTGTTTAATGATTTATTGTATATATATTACCGTCATATAGAAAGTAACCATCAGCACAACTGACTGTGGATAGAATTAAATCAATTTCATCATCTGGCCAATCACAATTTTTCAATAATGATTTAAAGTCCTCAACAAATAATTTACTTTTTCTATCTGGATCCAGTATGTCAAATGCTTCTTGTAATTGTTCTTTATCTTCTTCGATTGGAAACCAATATTCATGAACAATAGTAAGAAAATCTGCTATAGATAGTTTATTATCAAATTCTGAAAGTATAAAACGCAACGATGATCTACATATCCAAGTATAAAAAAACCTAATATCGCCCGATTCATCTAGATTACTAGATTTTGACTTGATTAGAACTCTTTGGCAACGACAGTAGAAATCTAGTAATCAAGCAATTTAATTCTTGCTAGTTGCAGTCAAAAGTCCCTTTTCCAACTAGTCATAGATTGTCCGACTTCAGACGAAATGTATCTCAACTTTTTCTATAGGGGATGTTTGTAGATAAATGAGAAAAAAACAGAAATCAAATATCACCTTCAGATGTATCTTCGTTTTCATTCGAGCGTTTTAAATTTTTTGCTTTGTCAATCATATCTTTAACAGTATCTGTTGATGGATTTTGTCCTGATTGTCGAAATGCATCACCAACTTCTTCAATGAGAATAAAATCGTTCTTTTTGGCAACTTTCTTAAAACCAAATTTCAATACTAAAACAGAAGAATCAACCATCGTGACAGTTGAAATGTTAAGGGATTAGACAACACGATAGTAAAAGTGGAGTATACACTCTAAAAAAAGAACAGCTTCTTCAGAAAACTGATAATGTGTTTTTCATTTGTCCCAAATAGGGATCTGATGTCAGTTTTCTGAAAATTTGCAAAACTGATTTTTTCATTTTCCGAAAGTATAAAAATTGAGTTTTTCATTTTTTCAGATCCCTATTTGGGACATTTGTTTTCCAGAAGACATCAGATCGAAAAACACATTTCTGCTCTTCGCTTTTTTTTCGAAAAGTTGAATCTTATTTTTTCTTGTCGTCAGCCAACTTTCAATACTATACCTGTGATCACCTATTGGAGTATCTTTTATACTGTATGAATACTGTCAACTGGAGACCTGCATGAGTGGAGAAAACTATGTAACCCGCATCCGATCTCGACCGCCGTTTTGAATCTGATTCCATTCGGATCGAATCAGATTTTAGACACCGTATGTTCTCGACTCGTAGGGTTCGAGTCGAATTTTAGAACTCTGTTGTCAAGAACAAATATTTTTTTTTAGAACAATTTTTAGGTGTTCTTCTCCCGGATTCGATCTTCCGACCTTTCATACGCTGTACTTCTCCAAATACGCATTTTCCCATTGGACTAAATTGTGCAAAAGGAAACTACGAGTTACGATGATACATTCGTATGAAGGCCGTACACTTATGTATATATTTAAATAGTCTTTACAAGTGATCACTCACATGTTACTAGCTATACTATACATAAATGTCGACCTGATAGCTGGTAACATGTGAGTGATCACTTGTAAAGACTATTTAAATATATACATAAGTGTACGGCCTTCATACGAATGTATCATCATAACTCGTAGTTTCCTTTTGCGCAATTTAGTGCAATGGGTAAATGCGTAGTTGGAGAAGTACAGCATATGAAAGATCGAAAGATCGAATCCAGGAGAAGAACACCTAAAAATTGTTCTAAAACAAATATCTCTCCTATAAACAGTATTCTCTACAAGAACAAACATGTTCTCGAAATGTGCACGTTGTTGTTATATAAAGAGATATTTATAAGAATAAGTTTAAGTTTCTGTAAGAAAAAATCATGTCTCTTAGCGGATGGGCCAGAAATAATAACACACTTTTGTTCTCTTTTCTTCCGAGCACAACCGAGGTTCGAAGATTCCATTCTAAACCCATTTGATAAAGAATTTTTTGTTCTACAAAACCCTATAACGCATACTTTCACTGCGTTGTTTGGCTAGTCCTTTTCCTGCTTTTTCAAAATCCCACATTACCCGAAAATATAGATTAACTTGTGCACTGAGAGGTTCACAATTTAGGTGACCAAACGAATAAGGAGCGTAGTCTGGATGATAGCGCTCAATCCATTGAACATTTTTATACCACCTTCTTCTCTCAATTACCACATTATTTCTCGAAAAGTTACACAAAAACAAAAAGTCACCAAAATTTTGATAGGAAATCGCAGCTATACTTTTTACCTGTCCCTACTCTACACTATTTTTGAAAATAATGAAATAATATGTAATGAAAGAAGATAATGGATTTTGTAGAGCAGAAAATTGTCTATCGAATGAGTTTAGAATGGAATCTTTGAACCTCAGTTGTGCTCGGAAGAAAAGAAAACAAAAATGTGTTACTATTTCTGATCCACCCGTTATACATACATATATCAGGAATTGCAAAACGAAATCGGTGATCGACATACGTGATTTTCTTTACCTATTGTAAACTTCGTGATCTTTAAAGAATTTGATAGAAATATTGTGTTTTCCAAATCTTGAAAAACAAAATTTCTGAAGAGCCAAAATGAGCTGAAAAATTGAGATGAATAAAAAACTCAGTTTTTTTGAAAAATAAAAATCAAGTTTTTCATATCCCAAAGAACTTAAATGAGATCTTCAACTAGTTCTTTGAAAACGCGAAGAACACGTTTTTTTTAGAGTGTAATTCGATGCATCAGAATTTTCTGACAAGGTTTAAACGATGCTTTTTATTGCATTGAATTTCCTAAATGCTATTGTTTCATTACGATGTATACCAGGACTCGAAACAAGCCGACAATTTTGAGGCCTGGTCTGCCTGCGTCAAGCCTGTAATGTTTAGATCTGCCTGGGCCTGTCGAAATATTTCTTGGGTCTTGCCTGCCTGCCTGCCATTGCTCTCGGCCTACCCTGGCCTGGTGTGTAGATGCCTGGTAATTTTTTTAATAAACAAAATGTACAAATAATAGTAACATCAGATGGAAAGAAAAGTGACAGATAAGGCGAATTCGCAAGTGACTTCCTATATATGTTACATTGGCATCAACTGCTTCTTTTCAAAGTCTGACCTTCAGATTTCGCGAGATCCATTAGTATTTTACTAAAGAAAAATAAAATTCTTTAATATCATAAATCATCCAGGGTAGAGGCCTATACTGACGGAGTGATTAGCATGTAAGCAGGTCCAAATCTACGTACGATTTCAAGGCCCCTTTATTTTATTTTTCTCGAGATTCAGAATGTGAGATGCTGTGGATGAGCGCTAAAAATCAGAAGGAACTACAATCCGATGAACTTACGTACATTCACGTGTATTTTCATCCAACAATTGGTCAAAATCAACAGCAGAATCTGTACCCTGTGCATTTCCCTAGAATTTACTAACTTTGTATGGATATTTTTGAGTAAAACTACAAGAAGGAAATGTTACCAGGAAATTTATCGTGTTATTTAATGGCGCTGTCAAAGTCTGTTCCATTGCGCTGCCTAACGGACGAGGTGTCGGTGTTCCATCGGGATCCATTTTAGAGAAGCGAAAGTTTTTGATTCACCAAGGGCGAAGTAAAATGAAACGTGTTTCTGAAATAACAATAGTAATATTAAGACTGTTTTGTTTTTCCAACATTTTTAAGGTATAGGGTAACGTGTAGTATGATGCTCCATCAGCAGACGATGGAAGAGAAGATTCATTCTTTTACAAGTTTATCTCTTCTGCTAATTATGAAGTGTTTTTGTTATATAAACATGAGCTAAGTAATGTTTCTATATTTCTGAACCCAGTTGCGATCGTTTCTTAGAAAACCAGCCTATAACGTCTTTTCTTCACTACAACGGTGATAAACTTCTCCAGTCTAATAGATAGATTTAATGTCAGTCGAAACATTTTAAAGAAGTGATAAATTTCACCAGATGACTAAAGCTTAAGACTTAAAAATATCAGAAGAACAAAATCTCTATTTACGTGGATGATACAATAGACCTTAAAAACTAAGCGTTCAAACGTATATACATTTACTTTTGGATCAAATTGTCTGATTAAGCGAAGATAAATTTTCCATGAATGAAACTTTGGGTTGTTTTTTAAATGAATTTTACCTCATTTTTCTTACCTATCTTTAAGTGTTGTTTATATAAACACTTTTTCTTTCTCATATGTTTCATTATCTGAACAGACAACTGAATAGAACAGAAAAAATTGTTCTTTTGGTTGGAAAGCTGATCACTTTGGAGCTTTTCAGCATTTTTCGTGTAGCTTTCTCGTCAAGATTTTTCTGCTGAGACACTTCATTCACTTTTTGTGTTTATATAATTGATTCATATTATTAATAAAGCAAGAGCAGCCTTTAATACCATTTTGTGCATTATAAATACATATAAACTGCAAAAGGGTAAAAAAAATTATTTTTCTCTTTTGAAAAATTCGCCGTTCAATATTGTGACTGTTTTATAATACACTGCAGAAATTAAAAATCACATGAAACTTCGAAATGATCAAAATTGAAATAAAAAAGACAGTTTTTTAGTTTCTGAGCTACTAGAAATTCGTGAAATTTTTCAACCATTTTTCTGATCCTAGAAATTCAAGAAAGTTTAATTCTCTGACTCTTCGAAGGTCTCACGGTTGTAAATCAATATCATGAATTGGTGAATACGATTCATAATGTTTGAAAGGCGCATCACATATTCTGCTACATACATGCATAAGTGCAAGCAGTTGTAAGCTATATACAGATTGTTAAATCTAATGTTGTTAATCGAATTAATTTATGGTCGATACCATGTTTATGCAATTAAAAGTGTACAGACATGTAAATAATGACATTCGATCGTCAAATTTTGACTACAATCTCATACAAAGCGTATTAAAAAAGACTTAAATTTAGATGATTGAATGAAAAATATCAACTTTTTTAAAGTTTTCTCTGGAATCGATCTCGGTACTAATTGTTGCATACCGAGGGTGATTTCTGATAAGTACAGCTTTATCTTCAAAATAAGACCTCCGGGATCTCCAAAATGTTTCATTCCAGTTATATGAGGCAAACGAATGAGCAAAACGGTAACACACAGATGTAGTGTTTACTGCACAATGTGAAATAAACATCGACAATGGTGAAACGAAAAAAAGAATTACTATCAATAAATATAGATGATAAAAGTGAAGTTCTACCAAACAACTATAAAACACATTTTTTCAACACAATTGTTTGCTGTCAGACAGCCTTTGTTCGCGCTGTTTTGTGCCGATAACCACGACCATTATAGTGTTTTGTAGTATAGAGCTAAATCAAATTCATAAATGGTAATATGGTAGTTGACTGGTGTGAATTTCTGGAAGACTCCTCATCCTGAAGTTGCACTTATCAGAAATCACGCTTTTGTACTGAAAATTAATATTTTGATTTCTCTTATTCGCCTGACATATGCGTGAATGAACCTGAAAGCCTTGAGATAGGTAAAAACACAATTTCAACATCTTTATCTAGCGCTCGATTCTCTTAAATAGATTGTACAAGATCTATCAGTTGGTGAACGCTGGAGGTAGTCTCGTATCCATTGTTCATCAAACAATCGACGTTTGCTACGCTTGTATAGTTGAAATAGAGTAATGTTTTTCACCAGCACAGATGCAGAAACGCAGTGACTACCCATTCATTATTCTTAGAGCTAACAGAATCATAATTTTACACTTTATGACTATGGTCTGCTTTTTATTGATAAGGTTATTATCGAAGAGGGATATTTTTATCGTTTTCACTTCCATTGTATCCGGGAGAGATATTTTTCGTCAATTTGTCCTTAAGATAAATTCTTTCTTCAAAACCGATCACATGATCTAAAACTACCTAGAGTAGACTCTCTGGCCATGGTAAGATGGCTATTTGTGCGCTTATTGACAAATTTATTAGCATTTGTAAAGGTAATGCTTTTGTGAACGTGATTCCGTTACGAAATGTCTTTGTAATTCATTGTCAGTCGAAAAGGAAATATATCGGATTTCAAAAGTTACTGCATTAAATCCAGTCGTTTGCGCTCCTTCCAACGGACTAATCGAATTTTTTTATAGCTATCCAAGTTTCGTCAGCACGAGCGTAACAGAATCACTATCGAATGATTAAATTTTTCTACAAAGAAGTTGAAACATCATTTTTCTCCTGTATTAATATTTACTGCACAAGGGTAGAACATAGCAACACAGCAGAAAAACCGACGATTAACCTCACAATTAACCGAAAAAATGGTCGATTCCGACCGTTCATCTATCAATACAGAAATCCATAGTAGAAACCCTCTCTACCTAAAACTGAGTATAAATAACTGCTTATCGGTAACATTTTGAAAAGGCAAATACAAAGATTCGTAGTACTTGGAAATCTCATTCGGATGACGTATTACTTTGCCGTTTCCAATAAACCCTTAATTTGCAAATAAAAGTGTAAGGCAACAGAGCGATATTAATTAGTATTCATTAACATTGATTAATTATAAATTATTGTCTTTAACATATGTGAAAATCAGCTCACTACACTGAATAAATTTTGATATTAAAACTCCATGCATCTGAATGGGGTGTCTCTTTTCCGCCGAGTTGGGGAAAAAGAGACGCTTTCTTGGGGCTCTTCGCATTTTGGAGCTGGTTGAAAATTGGTCAGCGATTTCTAGAAGATTTTACATCAACGTGTAGAAAAATGTTCCCTCTGCCATCATGTTCAATAGCAAGTTTTTCCGACCAAAAATGACTGAGAACTAATAAAAGTACGACTAAAAATTGAAAAGGTATCACTTTTTCCCTCACAGTGCTCTGCTAACATTGCTTTTACGTTTGTAGTAATGTTGTTTTATTTGCTTTTTCTTTACAGTGAAATTTTTCCCTACTATTTAGTCACTTTTTTTTCTCTTCTTTCATATGCGATATAAGGCGCAAATAATGCAAACTTTTAGCAGAATTGTTTGGCGAACGTATTATACATCGTTGAATATATTCTACGTTTAAGAATAGATGTTGATTAAAACAATTTCGTAAGATCAAGTAATACCGGTTAAATATACAAATCGGTTAAGTAAAGTATAGTACATAAAATAATATATACATACATGTTCTTTCTGTTATACGATAGTTCCATATTTTTTTTCGAACAGATTGAATAATACTGTACTCAATTTTTTTTCCAATCCAGTTATTGGAGAATTTGTTAAATATTCACCGGTGCGACTTTTGACGGCGTCCCTAAGGTAAGGAAGCTTCTGTTGAAGACAGGAGCGTAGCGACCACGGTGTGTGCCTTCCCCCTCCTCCTGCTTTTGAAAATGTTTGCTTTTTCCGCAGCAAAATATGATAAATCTTCTTTTCCTGCGTAGTAAGGGTGATGTACAGATCATGTATTCGCAAAAAAAAACAACATTATTTATCAGGAAAATTTTAAGTTACCCACCTACTTTTGGAAATTTTAAGTCACCCCCTCCCTGCTTTTGAACCCTCGCTACGCCCCTGGTTGAAGACTTAATAAACAAGTTTTCAACCACAATTATGCGTCAGTGTATAAGTAACTCTGGTTATGCGCACACAAACGAAGCATTTTGGAAACCACAAGTAAGAGGCTTTTTGCACTTTCAGACTGGGTATATTCTATACTATTGTCCTCCTATCCTAGTTCCACAATGAAAATAAAATAAAATTTCTTCGCCTATTGCGACTAGATGAATAGTCACTTATTTTGTGTAGTATTTTCCATCGTTTAACTTAACATGTTCGTTAAGTATATTCTCTGTTTTTGTTATTCTATTTAACTGTTAATAAATTATTCGTTTTCGTTTAGTGTATATCATTTTGTCCTAGAACCTGACAAAGATAATCGCTCTTTGTTCAAAACTGTACCCCGTAAAAGAGATCCCACTGAAAAAAGACTACTAACTACAGTCATCATCATTCCTCTTACAGGTTTATTTAATTTATTGAAAAGAAACGCTCTGAAAAAAAAGTCTATTAAAGATATCCTCCTTACAAAATCCTAACGAGTGAGCCATAAAGGATAGTGGTATCAGTATTTCGTTAATATTTGGCTTCAACCTTTTTTGAAAGATTTGTGGTTTCATTCTCTACAAAACACATATTAGATGACTTTTTATGT